GGAGGTGATTGTGTTCCCAGGTCAGTAGTCGTGGGTCCCCCAGGTCCAGCGTTGGTGTGTCCCCTTGCAGAAGTACAAGTGCTGGGAGTGGGGGCTTCAGGGAGGGGCAGCCTGGAGGAGGTGGGTGCCCAGGCCCCATGGGGCAGCCCCAGCCCCCCACCAGGGCTCGGCAGGCTGCTGCCATAGCAGGTGTGACCTTCACCCATTCCCCATCCCCAGGTCTCACCATGGCCCCTTCTTGGTGCCCCAGGGTCAGCCACCCCCATCACTGGGGTGCACCACCCTGCTCTCCATGCCCCATTTTCCCCTCTCATCAGATCCTGCTGGCCCTGTGTGTGTTCTCCTTGTTTTATTTTATAACACCAGGGAGCTCCTCACGCCGCTATGCTGCCCCATTTCCCGCTGTGGACAGCCAGTGCCTGGGAGCACCAGGCCCTGAGCTTAGGGAATATCCCTCTCTGTCCCCTTGCCAGGGACTAGCCCCTGCGGTGGGACACTTATACGGGTCTGTTGTATCGGTGCTGGGCTGGGCACAGGGTGCCCAGACCCCCTTCCTGCAGGGTGAACTCTGCTGTGTGCGCACGTGCATGTGCGCGTTTTGGGGGGGGACTGGGACCACAAAAAGCCTCCTGGTCAGGGCAGGGGATTACAGCCCTCCCACCTCAAGGAGTGTGCTCTGGACGTGGCAGAGGCGACCCAGCTTCTCCTGGTGCGACGGTAAGTGGGTCACTTTTGACTCGCTGCACAACCCACAGCATCTTCCTCCACGGAAGCAGGAAGGCTGACTGACCCTCTCCTCTTTTTACTACAGCTCCTTCTTCCTCTGCCCCGGCATCGTCCTACCCTCTGGCCACCGAGCACCCTGATCTCACTAGCTCTGTATCAGTCCCCACACAGAAAACTCGCCAGGGGAAAACTGTGGAACTGGGACCAAATCTCTCCCACCACGGAGGCTCCAGCCCTCCACGGTGAGTACCAGCTCCTGCCTGCAGCGGCCACCTCCCTCCATGAGGTCTCTGGTGCAGCTGGAGCCCTGCAGCCCTCTGAGCTCTTCACACCTCCCTTAAGGATTCTGATCTCCTGCTTTTGCCTTTAGAGACCAGCATTTCATCCTCTCAGCCAGCCACTCCACGTGGAAAATAATCCCAGCACCCCTGGGTCGCTTGGCCCTGGCAAAGCCCTGCTTGTCCCCATCTTGCAGCTTAAGCAAGGCACAGGTTATCACCATGAGAGTAGTGGTTTTTGGCTGCAGCACTGACCCTGTTTCCTTCCGCAAAACTCAGAGGAACCATTTGCTTGTGGGAAACCAAGTGCTGAACTGGGTCCTGTTCTGCTTTGTAGTCACATGCAGCCCAGCAGAGATAGTTGACAAAGCATGAGACCGGAGCGGCACAGCTTCCTTCCTCCTCTCCTGCCTCTTGGAGGTGATGAAAGAAGTGGACAAAGCTGAGGCTTCCCATCAGCATGCTCAAGGGGTAGCTGGCATACCGACCTTGCCTGGTTGCCCATTACAACAAGGTCAACAAATAGTGGAGCTAAATCAGAATAAAATTAGGTGCAGGAACTGATCCCTAAAACAGTGAAGATGCTGCAGCTCTCAGACCCGAGTGTCTGTTTGCTTCTGCAGTTTTCAGTTTGCTTTGCTCTGTGCCCAGCTTGCAGCCTGACCACCCTGACGCCTGCTTCCCTTCCTCGCAAGGCAAGTCCCATCACCCACAGCCGCTCCCTGACTGCCTGCTCCATGCTGTTTTCTGCCAAGCCTGCTTCCGAGGAGAAGTGTGAGAACAGAAACTCTTTTTTCTTGCAGCTTGGACGTGGTTGAGCACATCCTCACTCCAGGCATCATAGTGGTTCTTCTTTTGCTTGCGGTTGCTGCTGGCGTTTTGGCAATGCTGTCCAGGAAGAGGAAGAAGGGTAAGTGAAGCTGTCACTGCTGCACACACACTGTTTCTGCACCAGACCCTGTCTCCTGCTATATTTGTTTTTTCCTCTGTATTTCTTTTTTCTCCCCCATTCACTCCCTGATCCATCCAATTCCTGGGTCCATCACTGAGACCTCCACCGAGGAGGTCTTCTTCCCCCAAGGGAGCGGTGGGACAGTCCCACAGGTCTGATTCCCACGGGAGCAGGGAATGGCAGCTCTTCGGATGGGTGCTGCCTGGCACAGCACCCACTTGAGTTTGTCTGGGCACCGTCAGCTTCTCCAGATGCGCTCGGTTGCGTAGGCCAGGCTTGCGCTAGGCTTGATGTAAAGTTTAAAGCCAGTGTGAAGGACGGGGAGGGATGGGAGGGGACGTCAACAGCTGGTGGGTGGGGTCTGGTTTTATTTGAAGAACTGCTCCAGTTTAGATGATTGATGGGGCAACAGGTTTCCTTCCTGCTTTACAGTGAGATTCACCGTGGCAGCGCAGTTTTTAATACATTTTTTTTCCTCTGGTTTCACTCATGTCTAACCATGTCCATGCTTCATCCAGCCCTCTCTGGAGCAGCTGTAGAGATGGACCGGACTTGCAGCGCATCGCATACAGTAAGGCAAACCGCACAAGGTCTTGGGATGGCATTCTCTGAGCTCGCCTGGAGAGGGGAAATGTTACACCCTGAGCTGAGCAAGTGAGCTGCCAGATCCGTTTGCTTTCAGCCAGGTTCATGGCCCTTTAGGCTGGGAGGGATCCTTCGGGCTCCATTCACCAACAGAAAGACCCGACCAGGGATTTTATGTGACTATTGCAGAGTATTCCTGGGAAGGGAATTTAGGATTGAGCTGAGAGGTTTCTCCCCAAGCCCCTCCAAGCATGGGAGCTGCTTCTCTGGGTGAAACAGCCTTGTGCAGCAAAGCACAGCTGAGGGGGCTGCAGGGCAGCTGATCTACGGTCATTGCTTGGGAAATATTTTCTAATGTTTTCTGCCAGCTTTTGAGGAGGGGCTGGTGTCACTAACCAGATTTCCCCTGGGGAATGTTGAGCCAGCACTTGCTGCAGGCTAAATTTTCCCTCAGTGCTCCTGCAGCCGTCTCAGCTCTCCTCAGGAAAGGCAGCAAGACAGGAGATGTTCCCACCCCTGCGGGCGGCAGGCAGGGGAGCAGCAGTAGGTTAAAAGCTCATCCCTCTCCTTTGCATGTCAGGGAGCGGATGCCTTGAACTATGCGGACATTAACCACCACATGGGCACAGCCGAGAGCCAGTTGTACAGCAATGCTGAGGCTTTCCGCTGCTTGGCAAACACCGCGACCGAATACATGGAGGTCAAGCAGAGCGATAAGGTAGGAGAATGCAAAGCAGTGCCGAGCTCGAGGCAGTGGGTGGAAAGCTGGGGCAGGTGGGTGATGGTGGGTTGGGTGGGTAGGGAGGGGGCTGCAAAGGGACATGCCAAGCTGGGGTGCAAATGACCCTGGATAATGTGGGTGCTCTCTCCAATCCCCATGGCTGCTCCTGGGTGCTTAAAGCAGCCGAGAGAGGTTCCAGCAGACGGTGTTGCTCTGGAGCAACCCCGCGAAGGATGTTTTTTGTTTATCCCCTTCCTTTCCCAGCGTTTGGTAGAGGAAAAAGAGGCTATGTATGCCAGTGTGCGGAAGTCCCCGCCGGAGCAGCAGGAGATCTACGCCAACATGCCATCAGCCCCACGGCCCAAAGAAGAGCCCTACAGCGCAGTGCGGAGGGTGTGAGCTGGCACCCAGCTCTGCGTGCTGCTCCTGCTGCCAGCAGTGCCAGCGGGACACGGGCTGGCTTTCCACTCAGGCAGGAGCTGGCTTGACAGCAGAGCTGCCGGTCCTGGAGGCTCGCCTGCCGGTCTTGTAGGCTCGCATGTTTCCTTGGAGCAACCTCGAAGAGGATGAGGTTGAGCAGGAGGCGCGGAGCAGGATGAGGATGAAATTGCATTTGGAGACCTCACCCATACAGCAATAGCGCTGGGAATAAAAAACTGCCCCTTGCATTGGGATAGCCCAGGCCGGAGACCTGCCAGGCAGGGTGTGGAAGAGCCTGATAGTTGGAGGCGAGGGTGGGCTGGGGGTTGTGGGTGGGCTGCCTGGGTCCCTGCACCCAGCACCCGCCCCGCTTGTGTTACTCACATGGGCTGAAGCTCCCAAACCCGCTGGTCACTTCAAACTGACTTTTTTTCATGCTGATGCCCAGCAGAGCTGGCAGCTCCTGGGAAGCAGAACAGCAAGAAATGTTATATCCAAATGCATTTGTTGTATCCAAATGCCAGGGGACCCGGGTGGAGGTTCCAGTGCATTAGGGTCTCGGTGCAAAGGAGACAGTAGAGGTGATCCTGCGCCTCCTGTGCAGCTTCTGGGAAGCCGCTCCCCCAAACCCCCTGGTCCCACTGGCCCTCAGGGAGGATTGCTTCTGCTCTCTCCCCCCTGCCACCCCCAAGGACAGGGGTCCCACCCCGGCTGGGAGCACATGGACAGGCTGTAACCATGACCCTGCTCTTCTCTGCTTTGCTGATAATTTATTTTCTGGCATCCACTAAATCCACGTTGTAAAGTATCACTCCTTTATCAGTGACAGCAACTGAGAATCTGATAGGATCTAGCACCATATTTGGCTGTATTTGTATGGCAGTTTTCCACCTCGCTAAAGGGTTTATTGCAGAGTGTCGCCCAAAAAGCAGGTCCAGCCCCTCGCTGGTGCCCAGGTGGACCCTGGCAGCATGGGAACCCAGATCTTTAAGGGCAAGGACTCCGCGGCTCCAGCACGAACCCACAGCCCCACTGCTGGCTGCTGCGGCACCGCTCCCCACCGGGACGTCCCCCAGGGCTGTGCTTTGGGCATGCTCTTGCCCCCTGTGTGCCAGTGCCCTCCTCTGTGCATATTCCCTCTGCTCCTGCCCAATGCTGGGCAATTCATCCATCGTGACAAACCACTCCCCCAAAAAACAGGTCATGGGGGTGGGCATCTATTTGTGAGGCAGTTGAGCATATTTCAAGGCTTCATTTGGAGAGGATTCGTTAACTTTGTTCACTGCTGCAAAGCTTTGTTTCATATTTTTGTAATTATTCTATTCGAGAAGCCACGTGGAGCATCCCTGCTCTATCAAAACCAAAGACAACTGGAAGTATATGTCTGTGGTACGAAAGTTGTGGTTATTTCCGTAGGTTATTGCTATCTAAACTTATATTCCATAAAAGCAAAATTCCTCCTGTGTTCGATCAGGAGGTGGAATCCCTCCTTCCCATCCTGCACGAGGCTGGGCTTCAGAGGAGGGAGCAAATGGGGAACAAACAGCGACGGCACAGACAAGCATCACTGCAATTTGTAATGAAAACGTGCATCCAGCCAGATTCCAGCCATTGCTGGGAAAAAAGTGAAAGCAAACCCCTCCGCACCCACACGGACAAACTTCTGCCACAAATTTCATGTGGAACAGAGGAAAAAAAAGAAAATCACATATTGCTCCTCCTGCTCCAACATTTATTACTGGAGATAATAACACCCCTCTCTGAAGGAGTCGGGAGGAGGAATCAGTTGGATTTTTTTTTAGGTAACTGGATCCCATTATGCCATATCTGGAGGTAGTTTTCATGCTCTAAAAAAAGAACTAAATGGCTTTCTTAAATTAAAGCCCTCACCGCAGCGCTAAGGCAGAAATCACCGCTGGCTGCGTGATGGGGGTGTGCGGGGGGGCGGAGGGTGTGGGACCCTCGGGGTGTGCAAAGGTGGGGTGTTTGGCAGCACCTTCTGCAAGAGCCATTTTGAGCACCAAAACTTTAACAGCTGAAGACTTCCAAGCTTTCTCAGGTAATTTTAAGAATGTAAGAAATTTGCCTTTTCCCAGCGCTAGTGGCGTTTCAGGGCAGCTGCCTGGAAGACAGAAATAACGCCTGGCAGGTGAAACCTCCACGCTTTCAGCGTTGGAAGAGCTGACTCCCGACGGAAACAGGGTTGGGAGCTGAAAACCTGAGCTTTTCCATTGCACACGGTCCCATGAAAGTGGTTTTGCCTGGAGAGATAAGTTTTCCCTTGCCACGGGTGTTTGGGTGCTGTAGCTCCACACAGCCAGGCTGGTTTCAGGGGCAGGGATGCTGATTTACACTATGCAAACAGCTCTGCCCCAAAATCATGATTTCCAAACTCTGGCTGCGGGAATCAGCTGAAAGTGGAGATGTCCTATCCTGGTGCACAAGCCTTTCTGTAACTCGCACCTTCCTGAAAAGGAACGGTGATTTTTCTGGAAGCACCAAAAGCTGCTTCTCCACCACCTCCTCCAGCCAGATCCCAGCCCTGAGCTGCTTATTTTGGGGACCTGCAAGGCAGACCCCGCGCGAGGAGGGACAGCAGGAGAGGCATGGATGTAAGAGTATTTTGGAAATTCATTTTCAGAGCCAGGCTCAGTTTCTAGTGCTGTTGCGTGCACCCAGCAGTGAACCTCATGGGTGAGGGAGTCGGGCATAGCCAAGCAGGGATGCTCCCTGATGTCCACCTTGTCCCACATAGCCCAGCTCCCTTCTCCACCTTCCCTCCATTGCACCTATATTTCAAGTACCGTACCCCCTGTAACTCATTCAGGTGTAAAAGGGATGACTACTGGAATATATATACTCTATAACAAAATTTGCTAATACTCAGAGGTGCTCAGCTGCAGAGAAAAGTCTTCCCTGGCCAGGGTGGGAAGGCAGAGAGTCAGAAGCAGCAACTGAGTCTTGCTGGAGAGAAAAGTAGTTCCTGGGCAAATGGGGAGCCCATGTGAAGTTGGGGAGAGAGACAAACCCCAGCAGGACAGAGCTAGGAGAGCCCCTGCTGCCTGGCTCATTAACGAATTACTGTAGCCTGCAGCCTGCAATTTGCACTTAAGGAGAGATGAGCAGATAGGATGGTCCAAGCAGAGAAGGAGCTTTTCTTCTACTCCTGCCACAGCACGATTTTAAGGAAGGAGAGACCATGAAAGCAGCTAAGCACAGAGCTCTCACTAAGGAGATGGGGTGCGGCTGCTAGCCCTGCTTTTATGCTCCCCGGCAGCAGGAGAGCAAATGAGGCAGAGCCACAGGGCTGCAAATGCCCAGGGCAGCCAGGCTAGGGCTGGGGCCAGCTGGGTGTGCTCTGCTGCTGGGGCAGCAGGGATGCTGGAGCAGGGGGCAGCGGGGAAGCCTTGGCTCTCTGGGCAGGAGGTAGTTGTCTTTCTTCTGCTCTTTGGGCTTTGTTTGGCTCTGGGGTGGTTGAAGCCAGGGGTGAAAAGAGCGGAGTCCTGTGCAGGTAGAAAAGCCTGTGCTGGGTCTGAGGTGTGCTTGTTTGCTGTCTGGGTTTTTTTTAAGGAGTTTAAAATTTTTTAATTGAGTTTAAATAACTCCTGTAATAAATGGTTTTGGTCATGATCTGGTAGGAATTGAGTGTTACATGAGTGTCAGGTCTAATGCAGGGGAAGGGAATTATCTGGCGGCCTGCTGGCTGGAGTCACATGCTTTACCCCCCTCTACCGTGAACTAGGGGTGCACCCAGCTTTCTGCTCCTGCCTGTCTGGGGAGGAGTGCAGCATTTGGGGAGCACCTCCATCTTTGCTTAGAGCTCTTCCCTCCTCTCCATCAGGAAGCCCATGTGCCTGAGGCTCCCTGCTCCCCCTTTCCCAGGGACATGTGCTGGGGCAGGTACCCTGGCTAAGAAGCTGGTGGGGGGGAGCACAGTGCTTGCACTCCTGGAGTTGTGCAATTTCTTCCCAAACTGCTCTTGCTACCTGGCAAACTGCAAAGCAACAGGCTATGGGAGTGACCGACTTGTTTTTGATCAACAGCCTCTAAACACTGCTAAACTGTGATTTGTCTCTTGTGCCTTGCAAGGCGGCAAGCTTGAACAGGGGAATAACACAGGGAAGAACAAACTCCTTCGAGCAGAAGAGGGAAGATGAGTTTTTTTCCCCTTTTTATTGACAAGCCACGCATTTTCTGGCTTAAGCCTCACTTATGCATTGGTCAAAGCACCTGTGAGGGAGCAGTGCTGGGGCAGAGCTGTGGCTGTGCTCACTCCTGGCCCTGGCACTGCAGCCTGCCCTGGGATGGGGCATGCAAGGCTGTCTCCAAAGCAGGCTGGCCGTTTGTTACCTGCAGGGAGGTTCTGGCCTTGCACGTGGTGGGCCTTTTCCTGCCGGTGTGGAGATGCTGAGGCAGTCCTGCAGCTCTCGGCCTTTAGGGACATGGACCAAATTGCTCCTGTACGAGGGGAAGCCCCCCTGGAGCTCTGCAGGCTGCACAGAGCCCTCCTGCAGCCCGGGGGAGCCCCTCTTATCTAAACCTCTTCCCCTTAAAACCTCCCAGGCAGTTGAGGTTGCAGTGTTCCCTCCGCTGTATCTGCAGAATCTACCCAGGAAACTCACAGGAGGTCACGGAGCTCCCCAGAGCTGCTATCACCACCCAGACACTGCTTCCTATTTCCCCTGCTGAAATATTTCCCCCACAGCAGCTTTTACAGGGGGGAAGGCAGGGGTTGCCCGGCGAAGCTGTGGCTCCTGTGGCAAGCGTCTGCCACTGTCACAGCCCTGCCCTGGAGCCCGGGTTCCATCCCAGGACACTTCTGCTGCTTGCAGCCACCCCAGGAGCTCACCCGCAGCCCTTCTTGCTGGGTGGGTGTCCTGAAAGAGATTTTGAATCTTTTCAGGTTTTATTGCAGCAGAAACAGGAATGGGGTGGGTTTTTTTTTCCTTAAAGTAAGCTCGGCAGCAGGATGGTTTTGT